GCAGAGGCACATGCTAAATGGGGCAGTCAGCAAAATCCAGACTGGGAAACCACAGGACACATGTTCTGCTTCTGTCCTAAATTGCAAGGGAGAAAAGGATGGAAAGGAAACTGACAGAATAAAAGATAGACTTAAGGAATCCTCTATAGCCCCCATCCCAAACAAGCAAAACAAAAAGAAAACCTTAGGTAAAACTGCAGTGTTCAGGGATGGACGTTTGGGTGATAAAACTGGAGTGAATAGTAAAGGAGTGATACCTGTGAAGGCCAGGAGAGGGGTTATTTGTGGGCAGGCTATTTGGGAGCTGGTTGGTGGAGGGTGTCTGGGGGTGTGGCAGCAAGGTGCAAGCCACTAGCAACCTTCACCTGGATCATTGTGGTGCCTTCTCACTGCTTTCCCTGCCTCTGCCCTTGCCCCCCAAGTCAGCCCATCTGTACTTCTGCTCGGACTTTGCAGTGGCTTCCCATCTCACTCAGCAAAAGCCAGAGCGTTTTCAAAATGTGACCTGCATGACCTGAGAGGCCCTAGATGATCTGCCTTTCTTTCCACAACTTCTTTGACCTCATCTTCTGTGATTGATTCCTCATTCACACTGTCCAGCCACTCCAGCTTCCTTGCATGGCTTCTCTAGGCCTTTGCACTTGCTCTTCTCCCCACCTGGAACGTTCTCCCCACTGGCATGTTAATCCCTTACTCCCTTCCCGCATTTACTCAAGTTACCTTCTCACTGAGGCCTTCCCCGTCTACGTAATCTAATATTTCATACCCACCTCCTTCTTGACATCTCATGTCTCTCCTGCTTTTCTCTTTTTTTCCTTATCATCATCATCATCATCATCATCATCATCAATGAACACACTAGATATTCTTTTGTTGTTGTTGTTGTTGTTGACACGAAGTCTTACTCATGTTACCGAGGCTGGAGTGCAGTGGTGCGATCTCAACTCATTGCAGTCTCTGCCTCCTGGATTCCAGTGTTTCTCTTGCCTCAGCCTATGGAGTAGCTGGGATTACAGGTGCCAATGACCGCACCTGACTAATTTTTTGTATTTTTAGTAGAGACGGTGTTTCACCATGTTGGCCAGGCTGGTCTCAAACTCCTGACCTCAGGTGATCCACCCGTCTTAGCCTCCCAAAGTGCTGGGATTACAGGTAAGAGCCACCACGACCAGCCAGATATTCTGTTTTTTAAAAACATCTTACTGCCTGTATCTCACTTGAATGTAAGCTGTATGAGGGGAGAGGTTTCTGTCCCATGGCTGATGGTAGTCATTCAGATATGTGTGGAATTACAGGGAGTGGTCAGCTGACATTAAGACCCTATTCAGACTTCTGGAATACCTACCAGATTAGAAGTAGCCTTTGCAATGGCTGGGACAGGCATTAGAGAAGGCCTTTATCTATGAGCTGGTGAAATGAATACTGACGTGAGGTGCAAATGACTCAGTCACTCCAATATTGCCTGCAGAGTGCTCTGTGTACTGTTAAGAAATTCAGAGAGATACAGTTCTAGCTCAAACCCTGAAAAAGGCTATCTGCAATGTTTTTTTAAAGAGATAGGGTCTCACTCTGTTGCACAGGCTGGAGTGCAGTGGCATGACCATGGCTCACTGCTCACATGACAAAATGCTAAAAATAGGGAAAGACTGTTTTGTGAGGTTAAAATTTTAGACAGAATGATAGGGCTGCGTACAGTGGCTCATACCTGTCATTTAAGCACTTTAGGAGGCCAAGGTGGGTGGATTGCTTGAGCCCAGGGGTTGGAGGCCAGCCTGGACAACATGGCAAAACCTTGCTCTCTGTACATTAAAAACAAAAAACAAAAAACTGGGTGCATTGGCTCACACCTGTAATCCCAGCACTTTGGGAGGCTGAGGTGGGCGGATTGCCTGAGGTCAGGAGTTCAAGACCAGCCTGACCAACATGGAGGAACCCTGTCTCTACTAAAATATACAAAATTAGCCAGGCGTGGTGCATGCCTGTAATCCCAGGTACCCGGGAGGCTGAGGCAGGAGACTTGAACTCAGGAGGCAGAGGTTGCAGTGAGCCAAGATGGCACCATTGCACTCCAGCCTGGGCAACAAGAGCAAAACTCTGTCTTAAAAAAAAAAAAATCATAGAAGAGAGAAAGTGGCTAAGAAATTCCAGTCCACCTCTCCTTAGGCTGTCATGAAACAAGCCAATCTATATACATAGATAATCACTGGAAATTTATAAGCTTAACAATTACTGAATTGTACGACAGGAATGTAGGTGAAAATACTTGTTCTTTAAGTGCTAAGTTAAAGTTGTTCTTTAAGTGCAGCCTTGACCTCTTGGGCTCTAGCAATCCTCCCAACTCAGCCTCCTGAATAGTGTCACCACACCTGGCTAATTTTTAAATTTTTTTGTGGAGATGGGATCTCTCTATGTTGTCAGGGGTGGTCTTGAACTCCTGGGCTTAAATGATGCTCCTGTCTTGGTCTCCCAAAGTGCTGGAATTACGGTGTGAGCCACTTGGCCTGGCTGTCTGCAGTTTTTACTGTCAGAAGAGATGAAAACTATCATTGAAATCTGCCCATTGGGTAACATACTGTCTAGCAATGAATAGTCAAAGTGGTAGGTACACTCTTGTAAAATCTAACAACTTGAGCATTTTCTTTTTCTTTCTTTCTTTTTTTTTTTTTGAGACAAAGTCTCATTCTGTTGCCCAGGCTGGAGTGCAGTGGCATGATCTTGGCTCACTCTAACCTCTGCCTCCCAGGTTCAAGCGATTCTTCTGCTGCAGCCTCCCAAGTAGCTGGGACTTCAGGCATGTACCACCATGCCTGGCTAATTTTTGTTTTTTGTTTTTTTTTTTAAAGTAGAAATAGGGTTTCACCATATTGGACAGGCTGGCCTCAAACTCCTGACCTTGTGATCCACCCATCTTGGCCTCCCAAAGTGTGGGGATTACAAGCGTGAGTCACCACACTTGGCCAACTTGAACATTTTCATCAGTATCTCATACTAGGACTGTAAATTTCAAATTGAATTACTGCCCTAATTTATGTGCCAAGAAACACTGAATATAAGCTGCCACTGAAATAGTGCTTACTGCAACTAGTCTGGAATCCTGTGGGGCATTACCTATGAAGATTACAAACTGAAGAAGGTTGGAAATGAGAAATAATTTTATGAAAGATGGAAACATAATTTTAAATTTCAGAATTTCTGGGACCAGAAATAAAGAGGATCACACATATTATATCTTTCCTACAATGTAGATGAAGCGGATCAGACCTGACCTTATGTGCTTGCTTCACCTTAAGGGTTTGGTCTTCTCTTAACATTGGTTCAAAAAAATCGATCTTTTTGTCAACAATCCATACGAAACAGTTTAATTTTCTATACTGTGTGTAGAGACTTAGCACTAAGAACAAGCATTTTAACCTATATGACTGTAATACAGTTAAGTAGTTTTTAAGCTTATAATTTTTCAGTAATTATAAATGTAAAACACATATCTTGGCTGCTTCATAACAACCTAAGGAGAAGTGGACTGGGATTTCTTTCTTTCTTTTTTTTTTTTTCCCCCAAATCTCATCTTGAATTGTAGGACTGGGATTTCTTAGTAGCCGGCTTATCTCTTCCATGATTCTTTTTTAAACTTTAACCTCACAAAACAGCCTTTCCTTGTTTTTGGTATCTTGCCATCTTTGCAATAATAGTCTGCTCCCAGATATTTTTTATTTTTTTTGAGAACAGGTCTTGCTCTGTTGCCCAGGCTGGAGTGTGTTGGCACAGTAACAGTTCACTGCAGCCTCGACCTCCCAGGCTCACATGATCTCCCACCTCTACCTCCTGAGTAGCTAGGACCACAGGTGTGCACTGTGCTTAATTAAAAAAAAAAAAAAATTTGTAGAGATGGAATCTCCCTGTGTTGCCTCAGGCTGGTCTTGAACTCCTGGGCTCAAGGGCTTCTCCCACTTCAGCCTCCCTCAGTGCTAGGATTACAGGTGTGAGTCACCACACCTGGCCTGCTCCCAGATTTTTCATTCTTGGATTCCATTTTACCCTGTGGCCAACTGGCTTAAAGATAGTGACCTAATGAATACAGTATGGGGCAGCTTTGTTGGCAGAATTCAGAAGCATCAGCCTGTGTCACTGGTTAATTCTGCAATTTTTTTTTTTTTTTTTGAGGTGGATTATTGCTCTTGTTGCCTAGACTGGAGTGTGGTGGCGAGATCTCTGCTCACTGCAGCCTCTGCCTCCCAGGTTCAAGCTATTCTCCTGCCTCAGCCTCCGAGTAGCTGGGATTATAGGCACATGCCACTACGCCTGGCTAATTTTGTATTTTTAATTGGACACATTGGCCAGGCTGGTCTTCCAACTCCTGACTTCAGGTGATCCACCCGCCTTGGCCTCCCAAAGTGCTGGGATTATAGACATGAGCCATCACGCCCAGCCAATTCTGCAATTTTTTTTTTTTTTTTTTTTTTTGAGATGGAGTTTTACTCTTGATGCCCAGCCTGGAGTGCAATGGTGTGATCTTGGCTCACTGCAACCTCTGCCTCCCAGGTTTGAGCGAGTCTTTTGCCTCAGCCTCCCGAGTAGCTGGGATTATAGGTATGTACCACCACGCCTGGCTAATTTTGTATTTTTAGTAGAGATGGAGTTTCTCCATATTGGTCTGGCTGGTCTCGAACTCCCGACCTCAGGTGATCTGCCTGCCTTGGCCTCCCAGAGTGCTGGGATTACAGGTGTGAGCCACCTCGTCTGGCCCCAGTTCTGCAATTTATAGGCACAATTTTAGCAAATAGCAAGTATGTCATAGAGGCAAATCAAGATTCATTTTTACCAGTAGTTAGTGCAAAAGGAACTATGAGTCATTGTTTTATTGCAGCTGTACGTGAAAGGCATGATTGATACTCTGCATATCAGATGCAATATTTAGAGACACTCTTACATTTAACTTGACCTCTCTACCTAACAGAGTTGTACTGATGTGCACATCACTTTTTCTCTGTCCCGCATTGTAGGTGCTCATGTGACTATCACAGATCGAAAAGTAGCATTAGAATTTCTTAAATCAAACGTTCAAGCCAACTTACCTCCTCATATCCAATCCAAAGCTGTTGTTAAGGAGCTGACTTGGGGACAGAATCTGGGGAGTTTTTCTCCTGGAGAATTTGACCTGATACTTGGAGCTGATATCATATATTTAGAAGAAACATTCACAGATCTTCTTCAAACACTGGAACATCTCTGTAGCAATCACTCCGTCATTCTTTTAGCATGCCGAATTCGCTATGAACGGGATAACAACTTCTTAGCAATGCTGGAGAGGCAATTTACTGTGAGAAAGGTTCATTACGATCCTGAAAAAGATGTACATATTTACAAAGCACAGAAGAGAAACCAGAAGGAGGACTTATAATTGGCTATAATTTATAAGAATATTGTCATTGAGTGGGTCACTTAAGGTCTTAGACTGCGAATCTAACCATATTTAATGAAGTGGCTTACTGCACAAAAAGTCTGACGCCAAGGTTCTCAGGCAACAAAGCACATGTGCGGTTTTAAAACAAAGCAGTGCCTCCTCCCATTGCGGTGATTTTTAGTCATGCTTTACTCACTGTGAAATCCAATTAACATTAAAGGATTAAGAGTGAGATTTTGGTTTATGCTGTTTCTGTATTCCATACTACTCTTAATAAACAGTTTCCACTGAGGATATGAAAGGCTGTTATAAAGATGTCTCTAAATGAGTAAGCTTTCTTTAGTAAGATTAAATCATACAAATTATTTTTAAAACCTTCTGATATATACAATGTTTAGCCGAGTTTTCTAATTTTCCAGATGTAAAATAAAAGGTTTAACATACATTCCTTGAACTGTTAGTGCTGTTGAAATGTTTTGCCCCATTTAGGTCCTAAAAACTTTTAGTTGGTTGAGTAGGATATGAGTTTTTGGGGTCTCATTTCATGCATTTTGCCTTAATTTCAGGTTTTTATATATAAATAAAGGAATTAAGTACAAATAAAAATTCAATTACTTTTTGAAAGCACCTGAAATCTTGGACTTGAAGAGGTTGTCTATTTCAAGTCAAAATCTCTAGTTTTCCTTTTCTGCCTTTCCTTGCTCAAATGTTGTTTCAATGTAATTCTTTCCTGAGCTTTCCCTGTTTCTTAATAATGTATAGGATGTCATTAAAAGTACTTTAAAATCTCGTTCCTCCATGAGAGGTAAGCTCCTTTTGTATTGTGCTTGTAGCTGCTCATTCAATGTTGGTATTGCCCCATAGACTGTAAGCTTCTTGAGGGCCAAGAATGCTTCTGCCTCTTCCATTGTTGCTTCCACCATATATTTCATAACCAAATAATGAAAAAGATATATTCCATTTAACGGGCATTGACTTTGGGTTAAATGATACATTGTTTTAGGATTATCTTTGGTATACTTTGACATCTCACATACACATGGACTTTCCTTTTCACAATGCAAAAATTTAAACAATAGCTTAAATTTAGACTGCAAGAATATTTTAATCTCCATATAGTATTTGGTAACTAGTAGATTTCTTTTATAAAAATCTTAAAAACAGGACCTTTTCTTCCGTTTGAACCTTTATCTTGGAGGTGAAAACGCCCAGTATGTTGTTTTCTACATATATTCAAATAGCAGTTTTACTTTAATAAAGATGGATCAAACGTTGTGAGCATTCTGTGATATACCAGTTCAACACAATTCTAATACACATGGAATGGAAATATCCATAGCTTACTGAATCCATAAAATGTCAGTACTGTACCATGAACATGGAAGATCGTTTAAAACAAAATAAAGCCTGGCAGCATCACCACCACCATAATGACAAGCCAGTCCCACTTAGGTGTGTTATTAGAAATGCATATATGAATTAGAGTTCAGTTTCTTTACGATCCCTAACTTTAAAGATGGGTATTCAAATGGATGGGGCAGGTTGGGATAGAGATGGGGAACTTCCACAATGTTCCTGGATATTCTACCAAATGAGGTGAGCTGTTCTTGGGTTATGTTTTCCGTTTTCATAAAACATTAAGAATTAGAAAAGGTTGAAGGTAGTTTTTTCCCTTGCCCTGCAAATTAGAAGCACAGGCAAGAAGAAAACAATCAGCAGAAATAGTTGGGTTGTCGAAGTAATTTTCTTGGCTTTGGTTTTAGAATGTTGTTGGCAGGACAGGTTCCTTGGGGAAGTAGACTTAGAGATTGAGATTATGGTGTGAAAGGTTTAAACGGGAATGCTTTTTCCAAGATGAATATTCTGATCTTGGAAAGCAGACAGACTGGTAAAGAGGAAGAAATTGGGCTAGGATGTAGCTGGGGAAAGTCCTCAGCTAAGGCTTTAGAGTTGAGATGGTCCTGCAGTTAGGCCATATTGAGGCAGGGTGATGGGCCTTTATGACGCTGTGTGGACTAGTGGATACAAGGGTCTAAGGCTGAAGACAATTTTAAGAGGGACTCAACTGGGAGCATCAGCCACCAACATTCCCAGAAGCTGGAGAAATGAGTGTTTCAGGTGTGGGGGTTGTGTGTGTGTGTGAGAGAGAGAGAGAGGGGAGAGAGAGAGAGAGAGAGCACATGCGTATCTGGGCAATACACCACAGTGTCCACTCCATTGTCAGTGAAGTTGGGCCATATTTTTTACTTATTTTATTCCATAAATGTACATTTTAAGTGTGCTTGTTTTGTCCTTAAGTTAAAGATAGAATCCAAACCTATATTACTAAGTCTTGATTCTCACTCACATTGCCCAATTTCTTTAAACAGTTATGCAGTTAAGAAATCCCATGGGTACCACTAACTTTTACCCCAATTAATATCAAATACTGCTGCCAAGATGCTATGTTAAAATATATGTATGACAGGCTGGGCGCGGTGGCTCAAGCCTGTAATCCCAGCACTTTGGGAGGCCGAGGCGGGTGGATCACGAGGTCGAGAGATCGAGACCATCCTGGTCAACATGGTGAAACCCCATCTCTACTAAAAATACAAAAAAAATTAGCTGGGCATGGTGGCCCGTGCCTGTAATCCCAGCTACTCAGGAGGCTGAGGCAGGAGAATTGCCTGAACCCAGGAGGTGGAGGTTGCGGTGAGCCGAGATCGCGCCATTGCACTCCAGCCTGGGTAACGAGCGAAACTCCATCTCAAAAAAAAAAAAAAAAAAAAATATATATATATATATATATATATATATATATATGTATGTATGACACCAGGTTCTTGGAACCCCACTATAAATGCTGTTTCCAAGTAGATTATCACTTAAGTGTAGCTTGCTTTAGTTCATAGTAGATGGCCTGGATACCATCTTCAAATAGCAGTTGATCAAAATGCTTTTATCTGTTAACTGAACACTAGATTGCAAACTCAGGGCAGAATAACAACATTATTTGGAATGTTTTAGAAAATACAATTATGCTCCTAAAAGGCAAGGATGATAGCTTATATTCTCTCTCTCTCTCTCTCCCTCTGTGTGTGTATATGCATACATATTTTTTTTAAAGATGGAGTTTTGCTCTTGTTGCCCAGGCTGGAGTGGAGTGCAGTGGTGTGATCTCGGCTCAGCAATCTCCACCACCTGGGTTCAAGTGGTCTTCCTGCCTCAGCCTCCTGAGTAGCTGGGATTACAGGCATCCGCTACCACGCCTGACTAATTTTTTGTAGAGATGGAGTTTTATCAGGTTGGCCAGGCTGGTCTCGAACTCTTGACCTGAGGTGATCCGCCTGCCTCGGCCTTACATTCTATATTTCAGTTGGTATCATGGTGCCCTGTTCATAAAGGGAGCTCACACTGACTAATGAAAAATACATACTCCTTTACAGATGAGTTACCATATACCTAATTTATGTGCTTCATTTCTCCCTGCCCAAGGTATGGGAGAAATAAATTCTCAGGGATATTAAAGTATCCAGACATACTCTGAATAAAAAAATTATCATAAATTAATGTAAAAGATTCACCTCCAATAATCAATACCATTTAATTGCTGTTTATGGGAAGCATTTACTGCCAATTCCTTAAAATTTAACACAAATAATTTTTTTTTTTTTTTGGAGACGGAGTTTCAATCTTGTTACCCAGGCTGGAGTGCAATGGCGTGATCTCGGCTCATCGCAACTTCCGCCTCCTGGGTCCAGGCAATTCTGCCTCAGCCTCCTGAGTGGCTGGGATTACAGGCACATGCCACCATGCCCAGTTAACACAAATAAAATTTTAAAGTACTTTAAAAAATCACAGTATAATGTACCCAGTACTGTTAAGTGGCCCTAGATACAGGGCTTCGCTTAATAGTTGGTAAAACAGACTTATAATTTGTGTTAGTGTTAGAGGAGCAGTCATAACCTCACTGCTCCCCAGAAACTCTACCTAGAGAAAAGCAGCTTTCTCAAGGTCTTTAACACGAATGTGGTCAGTAAGTGTAGTGAGTATCGAGAACCCTGCTCTGGGAAACTGGAGACTTGTGTTGTCTTAGCACTGACATGAACAGCATGACACCAGACAGTCCTTAGCTCTGTTTTACCTTAAAACTTAAGGATTTTTTTTTTTTTTTTTTTTTTTTTTTGAGCTGGAGTCTTGCTCTGTTGCCTAGGCTCTGGAGTGCAATGGGGCGATCTCGGCTTACTGCAACCTCCACCTCTTGGGTTCAAATGATTCTCCTGCCTCAGCCTTGATGGGGTTTCACCAGGTTGGTCAGGCTGGTCTCAAACTCGACCTCAGGTGATCCAACTGCCTTGGCCTCCCAAAATGCTCGCCCAGCCCAACTTGAGGATTTAATTGTTAGCTCTTTCTGCTTTAAAATCATGTTACATCTTTACTTCTACAACCAGAGAAGGGCTAAAAATTTAATAATGCTAGACAAGATGGCATATTGAAAACTTGCTTCATTGCTGAGAACAGTTGTTTCTGAGGATGAGATTAGAAAGTGTTAACAGATGATAAAAGAAAAAGCCTGCCTACTTCACAACCTTATGTAAGTCTGTGCCACTTCTGACTTTTCTTCTGGAAAAAAAATGCAGACTGTAAAGTTTGACATAAAAATACTAATCAAGTTGAGAAAAATTGTTTAGCAGATACCTAATAATCATTAGGAAACAATCTCTAAATATGAAAAAAAAAACATAATTCAGAAACAACTTTTACTTCTCAGTATCCTGGAGATATAGTAAGGTGTGCAGACCTAGTTACCAACCTGCTTGTATCTCTAACAGTCAAAAGTTTCAAGCAACCAAAATGTCCCCAAAAGAGGGTACTGGTTAAACTGTATCTGTACAATGGCAGCAGTTTATTAACCACTGTTTGTAGCTACCTTTTGTGTAAAAAAGGGAGAGGGAGAACATACATTATATTTGTATCTATATGCACAGATTGTCACTAAAAACAACACAGAAAACTGATTTTTAACAGTTTGCCCTTTTGCATGAGTTTTGTTTTTACAAGTGTACATATTACATAAAGTAAGTTTGAAAATGAGGACATTATCAAGAAAGCAAAAACTTATAGGAGAAAATATAAGGGCCTAGTAGCCAGAATATATAAGGAACTCAGAATCAACAACAAAAATTCAGTGAGCAAAGGACTTGAACAGACATTTCTCCAAAGATATACAGGTGGCCAAACACAAGAAAAGATGCTCCCTATCAGTAATCAGGGAAATGCAAATGAAAACCTCAATGAGAGGCCACACCCACGAGGA